GCATGGTTGGGATAGACTTAGACAACATTTCAAGTGCAATGCATTCTTCTTCAGGTCTGAGGAAAAAGAATGCCCTCCAAGACCTAAAGAAGAATGTACTGCATTTAAAAACTTGTCTGTTGTAACCATGAAGTTGGTCCAGTAAGAAATACCACCCACAAAAATCCTTGCCTCTGAGTGAGTTATACTTACATTGTTAGGAATGTTTCCTTATGGCAAGGCTACCACCTTGTGTCACTAGTCAGAAGTGCAATTTTTGTTCCCTGTTTAACAGCTGCAGGCTAAATTTGAACATCTTAAACGGCTTCATCAAGAAGAGAGGATGAAACTAGAGGAAAAAAGAAAGCTTCTGGAAGATGAAATGATTGTGTTCAGTAAAAGGAAAGCTGCCACTGAATTACTCCAAGCACAGGCTTTTGCATCCACACCTACAGTTAGTTTGAAAAAAGACAAGGACCGGAAAAAGTACGTACTCCTTTTAGCAGTCTAGAGTACCAATAGAAAAAATTCTTCACATTTTAAAAGAGTTACTTAGAAATAGATATCAGTCATGTTTAAAAAAACTGTATAAATGTGATCTCTTATATGATAAGAAGATAAAAGTGTGAAAATACCATTATTTTTAGTTATTGGCTTAAGTAACTTAGTATTGGCTGATTTAGAAGCTGCTGTATGTTCTGAGAATTCTTTTTTTCAATAAGGGATCCAAGTTTTCGGCTTGAAATCCTGTGCTTTGACGTCAAAAATCAAGAAACTGATCAGGAGCAGAGAGAGAGAGAGAAGTTAGAAAGGGAGAGATTCACACACAGGGAATTCCAGAAATAGCATTTGGATGCAATTCTCAGGTTTTATGAGTTTAGGGTATGTGTTAGTTCTTAAAAGTTGTAGAAAATACAGAATTGATCTGCAGAGCTATTGTTTTCTTGCATTTCTTTTTTTATTCATTGTCTGATCGCTGAGTTTTGTGCTGTTTTCTAATGAATGAATCCAGTGTGGATCTTTGCCAGTAGCCAATAGTCTAACCACCTCTGGGTTGGTGGTTCTCTAATTCATTTATAGTTCTGTGATATCTTCTCTTCGCTGAGGAGCCAGATGCTGCATCATAACCAGGGATCCTGGTCGTCTCTGATTAACCCAAAAATTGGGGATTTTTTTTTTTTTTAAGGTAACCCAAAATCCACATTTTTTCCTTGATCAAAATGAAACACC